TTAAGTTATTTTTTTTAGGTTTAAGTTTTTTTTATAAACTAAACCTGCCGCCGCCGAGTTTCCTCTCCACCGCCGAGCTCTCTGATTTCATCCCCACGAGATCTTCATAGCGACTGCGAGCCGAGGTGAATTTTGAGGCAAGACGGGTTTGTTGTTGACGAGATAGATAAGAGACGAGGCGAAGAGTGTGAGCCGAGGTGAGGAGAGACGAGAATAGTCATCTTCTCGAAACCGAGGTTGAAAGTGGAAACAAAGCGAATTGGTTCGACGTCGACGTGAAAGGGCGCCGGAAAGAAGAGACGAAGCCGTAATTGGGTGAACTCACGTCGGAGAGCCGAGGTGTTGGGATTGCTTGGATACTTTGCCTCGGTCGCGGCAAGGTTGAGTTCTTTTACATCTAAGCGAGTGACGCTACGAGGTGATTCATCGTGGAGATGAGGTGGAGAAGCAAGATTGTGACGAGATGTCTCTAGTTTTCGATAGGAAAAGGCGTGAAGCCGAGGTGACCTCTTTATTCTGAAACCGAGGTTGATCGGAATCGAAGAGCAATGTTGAGGTGGAACCATAATTAGCAGGCGGTGTTGTGTCATTTTCGATAAATTTTCTGGGCGAAACCGAAGTGAAGAGACGGCTCGACGAGATCAGATGAGGCTAATCACCGACTGTTATAAGGCGAGACGAGATCGACTGCCGAAGTGACTTGAAACCGAGGTGAAGGCGACGTAGATTGGTGGAAGAGGAGTAAGGACACCGCCGAGGTGACTTTGACTCACCGCCAAGGTGAATTTGACTCTCCTTCGGAACGGATTAGAAGCTTGATGAAGCCGGCTCTAAACTCGGGTCTCTCGATTTTGACTTAGTTGATTTGGAAAGGAAGACGACGTGGATTGGTTTTACTACGTCGGAGTAACTTCATCGTTGTTCCAGCCGAAGCGATTCTTGTTGTAGTCGAGGTGGAGACAAGGCGAAAGAGATGTCTGAAAATTTGTCTCCTTTGAACCCATTGTCTCGCCCTTCGAAAGCATGTCCTTCACATGCCTCACCAAACTTAGACGATCTTGTTGATTCAGTTGGTGGTCCTTCGCTTCTCAGGAGGAAGATCTTTCACTCGCCTGAGTCTGATGTAGGTAGCGCGACTGATATACCCTATATTTTACCACTTTTACTATCTATTTTACTATGTTTTTTACATATATTAATAAAGTTTTTCGACCAAAAGATGTAGTTTTCACGTATTTGTAGATTTTAAAGTCTTAATTATCATCAACAAGATGTAAAATGGAGCAAAATGAGTGTTATCTATGATGTAGCTACTCATTCAAGTCAAAGG